CGCTTCCTACAGCCAAGAAGGGCCACCACAGTACATGCCACCATATCAGCCACAACATATGCAATACCCTCTTGTGCCGACCTATCAACCACCTCTGCTTACACAATTCCGGCCTCAAGCGTCGAGACCGGTGTAACCGCCTCCGCCGCAACAGTATAGGCCTCCGACTCAATGGCCTAATGTTGGTGACAGAGGAAAGGGAAAAGTACAGGGACAAGCTTATGCCCTGGCAGGAGGTAGCTCTGGAGGTCAGACCAACAACGCAGTGGTTGAGGGTATGATCCTAATCTCTCATTCTTTTGCTCACGTGTTGTTTGATACAGGTGCCACACACTCGTTCATATCAAGCTCTTTTGTTCGGACTTTGAAATTGAAGAGTGAGAATTTAGAAGTCCCGATGACTTTGAACTCCCCACTGGGATGTGTGGAGGTAATGAGTGTGTGTAAATCATGTGAAATCATGATTGGTAGTGAGCGATTGAGAGCAGATTTGATTATCGTTCTGATGACCCTGTTTGATGTGGTACTCAGAATGGATTGGCTGTCAAGGCACGGTGCAATTATTGATTGCTACCGTAGGAAAGTGACCTTGATGACGGATTCTGGAACAGTAATTTCTTATCAGGATGAACCCAGTCCTTGGGGAATGACTGTTGAAGTACAGCGTTGGGAGACGGAAGAATTTAGCCTGTTTCTCCTCCCTTCTTGCCTTAGAAGGTGAATCTGAAGTGATCGGAGATAGTGCGGGAATCCCTGTAGTGGATGAGTTTACAGATGTATTTCCTGAGGAGCTACCTAGTTTACCGCCAGATCGGGAGATTGAATTCTGTATTGACTTGGTCCCGGGAATGGCACCTATTTCTATTCCTCTATACCGGATGGCTCCGGCGGAGATGAAAGAATTAAGAACGCAACTTGAGGAGTTGGCAGAAAAGGGATATATCCAGAATAGTACTTCCCCTTGGGGTGCACCGGTGCTATTTGTGAAGAAGCACGACGGATCTCTTCGGTTGTGCATTGACTACCGTCAATTGAACAGGGTGACTGTGAAGAATAAGTACCCACTGCCGAGGATCGATGAATTGTTCGATCAGTTCGGTGGATCACAGTTCTACTCTAAGATTGATTTGAGATCTGGGTACCATCAGCTGAAAATCAAGGAGGAAGACATTCCGAAGACTGCTTTCAGAACTCGGTACGGGCACTTCGAGTTTCTGATAATGCCGTTTGGATTGACGAATGCCCCGGCTGCATTCATGGATCTAATGAACCGTGTTTTCCGGCCGTACTTGGATCGGTTCGTGATCGTCTTCATTGACGACATACTGGTTTACTCGAAGACTTGGGAAGAACATGCGCAACATTTGAGAATT